ACGCGTTCGCGTTTGTTTGTTAGGTTAAAACACGATCGGAAACGGTTGTTGTCGTTGTTGTCGTCGTTGACAAACAAAACTCATATGTTATCATCATCATCATCATCATTATTATTATTACGTTTTAATTTATTTATTAAAAAATTTTTAATGAGGAAAAATTTTTTACCGAATTTTTTTTTTTTTTTATAAACGCCGCGTCGTTTTTCAACTTGTTATTGATGGTAGGTAATAAATAAAGGCGCTGATCGTTGTGCGTAAATTATTATCATCATCATCATCATCATCATCATCATCATTATTATTATTATTAAAAGGAGTCGAAATTTTTTTTATTTTTTTTTTTATTTTTAATTTTCGTAAAAATATTTATAATTTAAAAAAAGAAAAAAAAAATTTTTTTTGGTAACGGTTTTTCCCTCCCTATTTCTCTCTCTTTCTCTCTCTCTCTCCCCTCCTTCCCCCCATTTTCTCTTCCGCTTTTCCCGCCATTTTTTTTTTGGTGATTTCAAAGAAAAACTTACGCGTGCGTGAGAGTATATAAAAATAAATAAAATATTAGTCGGAAAATATTTACGTATATAAATATATATATTAAATTTATTATTATTATTATTATTAATAAGCGTTTATAATTAATTTCAGGTACGGCTTGAACAAGGTTTTTTTTCTCTCTCTCTCTCTCTCTTTCTCTCTTATCAACTTCCTAATCGTTGTTGTCAAAAAAAAAAAAACAAAAAATTTCGAGTCGGAAGAAAATTATCGGGGGAGGGGTAGAGGAGAGGATGGGGTAAAGAGGCGGTTGGCGGTAGTCGGAGAGAAAAAAACCGAACGAAATATTATTAATAATAATAATAATAATAATTTTTTTGTGTGCTTAATTTATTATCATTACACTCGTTTTTTAATTATTTCTACGCGCGTAATCACGTAAATAAATAAATAAAAAATTAATTTATTACGAAAGCGTTTTCATAAAAAACGAGTCCTTTCTCCCAAAAAAAAAAACGCATAATCAAAAAGAAAACATTGGAAAATTTTTTAAATAATAATAATCGTGTAAGTAGAAAAACAAAAAAAAAAAAAAAAAAACGGCGGCATCATCCAATCGTGACTTTTATTTAATCTCAATGAGATTTTCATAATAGTAATAATAATAATAATAATAATAATAATAATAATAATAATAATATTTTTTTAATTCACCTTTGACGGCTACCTTTTTTTTGTTCTCCTGCCCCGCCCCCTTCCCCCGTAATTAAATTATTGCATAAATTTGACTTTAACGTTTTAAACGTGGTTTGTTTCTTTTTTTTTAACCGCTGCGCTCCCCCCTTCCCCCCATTTCCGCCTTTTTTCTCTTTTTTATATCCATTCACGATTTAAAAAATTAATCGCGGGGTTAAAATCGTTTACTTAAGAGAGAGAGAGAAAGAGAGAGAAAAAACTCACGTTTAAGTAAAATAAAAATTTTAACGTGTAAATAACAGAAAGATATTAATTTTTTTAAATATTAAAAGTTTTCCTTGTGACACGACAACAAGACCAAAATTTAAAAAAAAAAATTTTTTTTTTTTTTTACTTACTTATAATAAACAATTAAACTGTGAGAAAATTAAGCAATTTGTGTTGTCGTCGTGTCAAACAACCTGACCTTGGTTGTGTTTGTTTTTTTCCTCACGGTTGTACGGTTGTCGTTTAATCCGCCCTTATTTTTTAATTTATTTATTTATCGTCGTTTGTACGGGAATTATTACGTCAAAGGCGCGCCATATTTGTTTTTTTTCGTAAGGAAAAAAAAAAAAACATTCAGCGATGTTTTGTTTGTTACGTAATAAAAATAATTTTTGTTTCGTGAGGCAACGCAAACTTCCGTTTTCCGTTAAATTGTTAGTAAAGTATATCCGTCGCCGCCATTTTGAAAATTTCATAATTATTTTTTCATTAATTAATTAATTAAAAATTAATCTTATTATTATTATACGTGTTTGTTTTTGCGTCGGGTCATTATCATGTCGTTTAGGCAATTCTTTTTTTTCCGAACAGAGTTTTTTTTTTAATTATCGATCGATAAAAAAGGGAAGAGTGAGAGAGAGAGATGGATAGAGAGATAGGGAGAGAGAGAAAGATATATAAATTTATTTAGCGAAGAATACGACGACGAGTAGGCAGGAGTAATAAAAAAAAAAAAAATTATTTTCTTGTCGTTTAACTGTAAAAATGGTCAGTTTTTCCGGTTTTTCTTTAAATAAACAAACTCGTCGTCGTCGTCGTCGTCGACGTCGACAACGACGTCGTTTAAATTGACAAATTCAGATCAAAAAAAAAAAATATAAAAAAAAAAAAACCGCCGGTAACTCGTTTTTTATTTTTAATAATTAATAAATAATTACATTTATTATTTATTACGTAATAAAAATAAATAAATTATTATTATTATTATTATTATTATTATTTTTGAAAACGTTTCACCCGATTTTTTAATTAATTAATTTATTTGTTTATTTATTCGAGTTAATAAAATTCGCTGTTTTTTTTTTTTTACTATTGCCACGACGAGTATTTTACAAAAAAAATTATTTGCAATTTTTTTTTGCTTTTAGTTTTCCATTTCCGGTACGTTTTTAACGTTTGTTTTTCTTTTGAAATTTTTTTCGATTTGTTGCCTCAAATTGTAAAGAATTATTGTCGGTTTTGATTCGAACTACTTCCGGTTTATTTTTTTCTATTTGCACGTTAAAATCAAGACGTTTCGTATTGTTTCGATGGTAAAAAGAAATACAATTAAATGATTTTATTAATAAATATAACGTTCAAAATGATAAGACCTGGAAAATCTCGCCATTTTCTCCAAAACGAACAAAGGCAACTACAACAACAACAAACAAACAAACGAGGACGCCTACAGGTTTCGCATACTCGCGCGAGACATGTAATTATAACAGGAGCTAACCAAATAAATATAATAAACGACACCGCCACCGCCACCACCACCACCCCAACCACTATCTCTCTCCCTCTCATGATGACGAGAAGGTATTGATGAACCGGATGTTCTAAAAAAAAAAAAAAAAAAATTAAATGCAAATTCATATCCGGTTAATAAAAAGAAATACACGTCGTAATAAAACACGGATGAAAACTTGTTATGCTTTTTTTTTTTTTTTTTTTTTTTTTTATAATAATTATAAATTTTCGAAAAAAAAAAAAGTTACGATTGTGTTTTCTTATTGGTTTTCTATTTATACATATATATATAAAAAATTTATGCAAATTTTAATTATTATTAATAATAATAATAATAAACGTTTAGAAAGTTAATAGTAACGATAATAATAATAATAACTTTTTGTTTTCTTACTTAAATAATTAAAAGAAGGAAAAATTGTTTTTATGAGGATAAAACAGTAAAATAATTTTCCTTTTTTTTTTTTTTTTTTTTTTTTAAATCCATAAAATCGATTTTTATTACCTAATAAATTATTAATGTAACGTTTAATAGTTTACATAAATAAATAAATAAAAGTTTAATTTAATAATAATAATAATAATGTAAACGCGAGGGGGGGAGGGAATCATTAACGACCAGGACGGAAACAAAGGGAAAAAAAATTGGTAGTTGAAAAACTAGAAAAGTGGAGGAAAATTTTGTCTTTTTCCACTTTAAAATTTACACGAAAACAAACCGTTCGCGAACGTGGCAAATTTTAAAAAAATTTTATAATTAAACGTCACGAAAAAAAACGGACGGGGGGAGGAGGGAGGGAAGGGGAGGAGAAAGAAGGAACTTTTTTTTGGTTTTAACGTTGGTGGGCGCACATCTCACACATGGATGGATGAATTTTTTTTTTTTTTCATTTTGTTGAATTCGAATCCGTCCGTGTCCGCGTTGTTGTTGTTGTTGTTGTTGTTGTGGTTGTGGTTGTTGCATTCTCTACAATAATTAATCTTCTTTTAAAAGATTAGAATCTTGTTTTTTTTTTTTTTTATTGCTTCGAATTACTATCTTTAAATTTCTTTTTCTTTTTCTTAAAACCAAAACCATCTTCTTCCACGTTATAGTTTATTAACGACATTCATTTTTTTTTTTTTTTTTTTTTTTTATCTAAACGTGAATCCGCGATTAAAAATTATTTAATTTCAAATATGTCGTCGTCGTCGTGCTGTCTTCTGCTGCTGATATTTCTTTTTTTTAAAAAAAAAGAAAACTTTCGCCAAATGGTTAAACGTAGCTTAAGAGAAAGTAGAAGAAGAAGAAGGAGGAAGGAATGGATTTTTGTGGGAGCTTTTTTTTTATATATATGTTTCGTAATCGATCGATCAATCAATCAATCATTCGAATTCGTGACCGCAATATGACAAAACAAATAAAATGACGTGAAAAGAAGAAAAAAGGAAAAAAGAAATCGATATATATATATTTTTTTTTTTTTTAAATTTATGTATCAATGGATTTATTAATGATGATAATAATAATAATAATTTATTGATCGATGATTTATTGTTTTCGCCATTAATTTTTTTTTTTTTTTTTACGGTTTAAATATAAATGATGGTTTTATCACGGATTTCGCGGATTAAACGTGACTCGAGGTTTTTTTTTATTTTATTCTGGTCAGAATTTCACAGTTTTGAAATAAAAAAAAAAAAAATGTATCATTGGAATTCATTGTAATCGTGGCAATAGAATCAAAGATTTTATTTTTATTTTTTTTTTTGTAACGTTCGTCAAAACGAAAGACGTGATTTTTAGCTTTTGAAATTTGACCGAATTGATAAAAAAAAAAAACTTGTAGTTTCGTCTCTTATCACTCCTTTCTTTTTTTATAATCTCACAATTTTCCAGTTTTTCTCCAGAAAAACTGGAAAATGTAATTAAATTTTAATCCTTAATTAATAAATAAAGTTTTAATGACAAAGTGTAAACGTGGAAATAATTTTTTTTATTTGTTTTTTTTTTTTGGTTTCAGACTGGCTCTGATACTTAGATTTGGATTCAGATGAGTGCAGTGGACGCCGCTTTGGCGTGGTACTGCGTGGCGCCACTGCCGCACTTTCGTAGCCCATACACTATGAGGGAAAAAGATAGCAGCCCGCGTAAAATGCTGGTGCCGTCGAGCGGACATAGTTCGCCAAAACAAGCAGCCGTTTATCCGTTGACTATCAGAGTACCTGATGATAATCAACAGCACAACGCCGGAGATGAAATGCCTTTTGATTTATCACGTAACACTAGGTCGGCCGGACCCCACATGTCGCCCGCTGGCAGACCACCTCCCGGACCGACGGACGAAGAACAACCACTAGATCTCAGAGTAGATTATAAGAAGCTGAGCTTGCAGAGACGACGGATTGAAGACGAAAATCAAAATGTTATTTTAAGATCTCCATCTCCGACTTCTTCTCCTCCGTCGAAGGAACAAATCATACCGGCGTCGGATATTCGACAAAGTCCCGTTTCACCGAGGAGTCAAAGTTCATCGGAGAGGAGCAAGGAATCGCCCAGCAGTCCGTACCCGTTGTTGTTCCCGCATCAACCTCTGCATCCTTTCATGTTAGAAGCCATGTACAGAAACGTTGACAAATCGGCAAGGTTACCAATACCGTTTCCCGTGAGTCCTCCGGGATATGCTCCTCCGACGAGGCCTTTCGTTTTTCCATCGCCCGGTATAAACGGTCATCCGAACGGGGGTCCTCCGCCTCCTCCTCCTCCTCCGTTCGATTTGCTTCGGGGCGGTCCGCAACATCCCGCTTTGCAGACGCCGAGTAAAAACTTTTCGATGGAAAATTCCGTCGGCGGAGGCAAACTTAAAGATAGGTACGCTTGTAAGTTTTGTGGAAAAGTGTTTCCTCGTTCTGCGAATTTAACCAGACATCTTCGGACGCATACGGGAGAACAACCGTACAAGTGTAAATATTGTGAAAGATCCTTTAGCATATCATCTAATTTACAAAGACACGTGAGAAATATACATAATAAAGAAAAACCCTTTAAGTGTCAACTTTGCGAAAGATGTTTCGGACAGCAAACGAATTTAGATCGCCATTTAAAGAAACACGAAGCCGACGGTCCGACTATTTTAGACGATCACCGTCACAGCCGGTCTTCGATGTATCAACATCCAAAACAAGGGCATAGATTGTCGTTGTTACCAAGTCAAGGAATCATGAGCGACGAATCTTACTTCGAGGAAATACGGTCATTTATGGGAAAAGTAACATCGGAGGGAAGAATGGTGGATCCGATGGCAGCTCTGCTAAGAAATCCGATTCCTCCTCCTCCGGGATATCCGATTCCGCTTCACGCAAGACTCTCGGATCCTCCTCATTCGAGAAACGGTTTAGAAGATCACAAGAGGAGCAGTTGCAGTTTAAGCGATAAAGATCAATGTTCGTCTAGATCATCGATATCCGAATCGTCGGCTCCGGGCTCGGTGTCGTCTCCTCCGCTCACGAGCTCACCCAAAGGAAAAGAAGAATCTCACGGCGTGAACAATCAATCTTATTCGTCACCTCACAGATCCGGTGCTTCCACACCAGTCGACATCGAAACAACTGAACAAGCAACTCCTACCTAAGTTGGTCGTCGGTCTACAAACAAAAAAAAAAGTGGCAGCAATGGGCATAGTGTCCTGCCCTTGTCACGCTTTTCTTTTTTTCTATATTCGAACAGTATTTTTAACGTTTTCATGATGGCTACTGTGATAAGAGACTAGTTGCTTTGTCAGGTGTTATATTTTTCCAAAGTTAGCTTTTTTTATTAATTAAAAAGAAATTTAATTTTGTCGCAAACAAACAAACAAACAAAAAACCATCGCAAATATGTATTTCGTGAAGTATAGTATACTATGGTCACCAAACAAGAAAGACGAGGAGGCTACTCTAGTGGTGGTAGTAGTAGTAGTAGTAGATAGTGTTTGTTGGCTCTATACTTTCCATTATAAACTTTCACTATAATTCAGAAAAACGAGAGCACAGAGCTCGGGGAGACAGATGACGCAGGGCGTGGCGAAAGTGTAGCAACCGAGAGATATAGAGTTGCGCGCACAGCCTCTGGTGTCACCATACGTGTTTCTATTTCATTTTTTTTTTTTTTTTAAATTTCCACGTTTTCCTTGTTTTTTTTTCAACTTTTTCTGAGGCGTTTCACGATAGTTTCGTATATACATATGTATTTATATGTATAATTACTTAAATGATTTCATTCGCACACGAAAATATTCAAAAGATTACAGCAATGAATAAAAATTTTCGATTGTTTTATTATCATTATTATTATTATTAACGTTTCCAAAAATTCTAGAAATTCGATAGAAACGATTGCAGTGCTTTATTAACATTCCAACGATCGTAATGATGATGATTTTCGTAAAAAAAAAAATTATGACGACGCGCGTCATTTTCGAATTTTCTTTTTCTTTTTTTTTACTCTAAATTGATTATGTCAATCGTTAACAATGAATGGGAATTAATTGTTTTTTTATAAAAAAAATAATAATTATTACTTTACCTGTTTTTTAAATTTCAAATCCTTCGTAATTTTTAGTCAATCAATTTAATTACATTGTCACGATCGTTATTATTATTATTATTAATATTACTCGTTTTTTAACCGTTTGTTATGTTGGTTGTCGTCATTTTTTTTTGTCAAGTGTGATACTCCCTTTTCCTACTCTCGTAAAAAAAAAAAAAAAAAAAAAAAAAATTAAACGTAACCGTTAATTTCGCGGTGAAAAAAAAAGAAAAATTACGTCACAGCAGTCGGTGTAAAAAAAAAAAAAATGGCGCGTAGGCGATGTAAAAATATTTTTTTTTTATTAAAAATTTAAATCAAGGTTTCGACGGGGAGGGAGAGAGGGAGGGGAGGGGAAGGAAACGATGACATGAAAATTTAAATTAACGGTTTTTTTTTTGGGTTTCTTCTTATCATTATTATTGTATTGGGAATCTTGTGTAATCCGGGATTACGGTTACGGGCTAACTAACATGAGAGTCATATCTTATAAAAAACCTTTCACCTACCTACCTACCTACGCACCTGCTTTGATTTTTGTCACTTTTTTTTTTCTTTTCCATTCGGTATAACGATTATTATTATTATTATTTTTTAATCTTTGAATGAAATATTTATTCGTGAACATCCGCCATATTCGACGATCGATTTTACTTCTTTTTCCCCTACACCCCCTCACCCCCACCTTGCTCACGTCGTCTGCTTACAAAAAAAAAAAGTACAAAACAAACCGAGTAGGTAAAAAAAAAAAAGAAAAAAAAGAAAATTTTTTTTTTATTCCGAATAAGCACTGCCTTCCCCCTCCCTCCCCCCATCTCAATCCCTGTGATATTTTATTATATTAAATTATTCGTATTTAAAACGAATTTCTTACAATAATGACGTCATTTAACGTTTACGTCAAGTCTCTCTCTCGTACGTAATAGAAATAGGAAAACTTTTTATTAATTACTATTATTATTATTATCGATGTATAAAATTAAATATATATATATACATAAATATATACGTAATATATTGAAAAAAAAATTATATTTTTGTACTTTTATATGTGTTCCTATAAAAAAAAACAGTATATATATATATATATATATATATTATATTTATATTTAAATGATAATAATGATAATAATTGCGATACGTATATAGATATATGTAAACAAAAATTTGTTTTATATTATTATTATTATATATATAAAAATTTTTATATAATGTTATAATTTAAATAGGAGTTACCCCATTTAGAGTCTTAAATTTTTTATAATTATTATTATTATTATTATTATTATTATTAATTAGAATAGTCGTTAAATTTATACAATAATATAAAAATATATATGCATATAAATAATATTTAATTGTTTTATTATTATTATTATTGTTATTATTATTATCGATATCAAAACGTTTTCCTTTTTACTCAATACGCGCGCGAGCACGTGAGAAAATTCTTTTTTTTATTTTCAAGGTCACTCACTCGGCGCGAATTATTAAATTCATTCATTCATTCGTTGGCCGGTTGGGTTTTTAAGGTGTCATCTTTGTCGCGAGAAATTTAAAAAAATTTTTTCATTTTTATTTAAACACTCTCTCATCTTTTTCCTCTTTCGAGTGTTTTTTGTTTTTTTTTCGTCTGCTACCACGACTTTTTATTCAACGATAATTATTATTTTTATTTTGATGTTTGTTTGTTTGTTGGGTATGAAAATTAAAGTAATTCCAACATCGCCTTCTCGTCACGTAAAAAAAAAAAAATGTACATTTCAAGGTCATTTGTATAAACAATGTAACTGTAGTATGATAATGATAATAATAATAGTAGGAAAAAAATACGGACCGGAAATGAAACCGAATATTAAAATGAATAAGAATTTATAAGGGAAAAGCTTCTCGGTGGCGAGTAACGAGGACGATTAATTAATAGACGCCCTTCTAATAAACAAGGTTGATATTTTTTTTAGCTGACACCGCCCCTGCTACCGCCCCTGCTACCGCCCCTGCTACCGCCACCGCCGCCACTTCAAACCTTTTACGAATCGAGTGTGAAAAATATATAGCAAACGTATTAATAAGTAAAATTGTTGTAAGGGTGGGTGTTGTCAAGGTTCGATAAATGATTCGGTTACAAACAAAAAAAAAAAATTAACAACATATGAACTTTGACCTATTATTTATATAAATAAATTTGATTGTAATTTATCCAGGGTCTCTAAAAAATGAGTGAAAATTTTTTTTTTATAAAGAAAAAATTTATAGCGCTGTAAATAAATACTATGGGAAAAAAAACAAACGTTCGAACAAACGGTTGATAAATGCGTAAACAACCAAATTTGGTTTTTTTAGTTGTATTTATACAACCGTCGATAATGACACGATTTTACGATAAAAACAAAAAAAATAACCGCTAAAAACAATTCTACCAACTTAAAAAAAAAAAAGAACAGATCATCATCACCATCATCATCAGGAGCATCATCATCATCACGACCATCAGCATCATCAGCAGTATCGTCACCATGATCATCAATATCAGCAGCATCAACATCATCCTCATCATCAACAGGAGCATCATCACCATCATCATCATCATCATCATCATCGTCATCATCGGCAGCATCACCATCAGCAGCATCAACATCATCATCAAGGATAGAAGCATCATCACCATCATCAGCAGCATCAACATCATCATCAACGATAGAAGCATCATCACCATCATCAGCAGCATCAACATCGTCATCATCAGCAGCAGTACCATCATCACCATCATCAACATTCTCATCAAGAGGAGCATCAGCAGCATCGAAACGATTTAAGGTACAAACCCAATCCTATCGTTTGTTGTTGTTGTTGTTATTGTCGGCATTTATAAACGTTTACGTTATTACACAACAAACGGGATTTTTTTTTTTATTTTTCTCGACGACTCATCTCTTATTAAACGATGTATATGATTTTATTTAGTCGATCGGTCGGTTGTTGTTGTTGTCGTGGCACAATAAACGCCTACACAAATACATTATTTTAAATATTAACTGGCTCACAAGTATGTAATAATAATAATAAAGCGGCTTATTAACTTTAAAAAAAAAAAAGAGAGAGATCCCCTGTTGAGAGAGTTTTTTTTTTTTTTTTATCGATATGAGGGATTCTAATTAACGCATAAAAATCAATCTTTTCATTCGTTTGTTATCTCCAGGTAACAAACAACCACAACAACAAAAAAAATTTTTTTTTTCATTATCTGATATCTTTATTATTGACTACGATAATAAAAATATAAACGTTTATATCATTTCTTATTTTGGAATTTTAAAAAAAAATATATGTCTTATCAGTTTAATTCGTGTGATAAGAGATAACAGTTAAATAATAATAATAGTAATAATTTTCCACGTTTTAAAAAAGGAAAAACAACCAAACGAAAAAAATCTTCGGGAAAATTTCACAAACGATTTAAAATATCAAACGAGTCGTTTGTTTCAAAAAAAAAATTGTTGTAATTTTTGTAATGGTCTCAACAACAAACAACTGTCTTTGGAATGTTTGTTCGAATCGAAATGTAAATAATAATAATAATAATAATTGAGGTCATCGTCTTTGGTCTGACCATCAACAGAAAATTGATTTTTTTTCGTAACGAACAAACGAGAAAAAAAGAGAGCCATCATCAATTTGGGACACGCCCGGTTTACAAGGAAAAAAAAATACATACAAACAAGAAATTGAAGATGATAATGATGATGATGATGATGAACCAAAACCTAATTATCCTGGAGAAAGATAGAAAGAGAGAGAGAGAGAGAGAGAGAAACCGCAAAAAAAAAAAAATTCACATTTTTACGATCGTTCACCCAAACCAATTCCGATAATCGATATCTTTATAAATCAAACAAATTATTTTCTGTTGTTCATTACACGATAATAATAATAATAAAACAAGTAAACAAACAACAAACAAACAAATAATTTCTTATATTTATATACAAACTTGTTTTTTAATATTTAAAAAAAAAATAATAAGAAACAAATTTTTACTTTTTTTTCGAAAGGGATTTTATTTTT